CCGCCCCTCACCCACCATGCCAACCCTCACCCACCATGCCACCTCACCCCCATAGGCTAACCCTCACCCACCATGCCACCCGTCACCACCATGCCAACCACCTCTCGCCATGTACGCGCCACGGCGCACTGCCACATTGGATCCCAGGGCCGACGGGGTCTAACGCTGCGCCCACATAGAACCGGACGGCCCCACTGCCGCTGTCAGCCTGGGGCTTGGTGTGTCTTCCCGTGCTACTGAGCCGGCGGCCTTACTGAAAGCCCGGTTCGACAACAGAAAGTGCATGTCACCATCAGCGCGCCTTTCTTAAGAGTAGAAATATATTATACAAACAGTGACAGCAGGACGGGCGGCGCGGTGGCTCGACGCCTGTAATCTAACACTCTGGGAGCCGAGGCGGCGCGGGTTGGATCGGTCAAGGTCAGGAGGTTTAAAACCAGTTCTGAACAAGAGCAAGAGCACCCCATCTGCTACCAAAAATAGAAGAAATTAATGGGAGTAACTAAAAAAAGATATAGAAAAACTTAGCCGGGCATCGTGCGCATGCCTGTGTCCCAGCTACTCGGCGAGGCCTGAGGCAGGCAAGATCGCATTGGAGCCAACCGAAGAGTTGGAGGGTTGCGTGAGCGACGAGGCCTGACACCAAGCCACTCGTAGCCCGAGTGACAGAGTTGAGACTCGGTCTCAAAAAAAAAAAAAACACACTAAAAGTGACGGTAAGGGAAAGCCAAGCACCCAGGGGCGCCTGTGCTCCGTGCAGATGCGCCTCTTCAGGCCAACGCCTCCCCAGTCGTCCCCCAGAGGCCAGGCACTGCCGGGGGATGGCCCATGTTTACAGACGAAACACAGGGAGGAAGGGCGCACTTGCCCAGGCGGCACACGGTTTGGGGAGGAGGAAGGGGCACAGTTGAGATGCGAATCTAGAACTTTTCTGATTCCAAAGTGTCCTGAGAGTTGAAATACGGAAGGGATCACATTAGGCTGGGCTGAGTCCTAGAGGGGCCGATGTAACGAAGAGGAATCCCTCATGGACGGAGCCTCCACAACCAAAGCCCCCAGGCTGGGAGTGGTACAGCTTCATGGGGTTGCAGGTGCACAAAGAAGAGTGCTGGGTACAATTGCCTAGGAGATGTGGGTGGGGACAAACCGAATAGAAAGCCAAGCAGACAGCCTGGGATTAATTCAGTGGGCACAAGGGAGCCATAGAAGGTTAATGAGCAGAGGAGTGACTTGATTAGAGATGTGCCTTAGGAAGACTGGGGACAGAATGGATATAAGACAAGCAAGATCAAGGGCTAAGAGACTGTCGTCATAAACAGGAATCCTGAGATGGGGACAGGGGTGGAGCTGTCTGGGTTTGTCCCTCTTCTGGGGCAGCGCCCCACTCTTCCCTGCGGAAGCCACCCTCCCTCAGTCTGTCCCCTGGTTTGGGTGGGGCTGCCCCCCCTCCCACGCCCCAGGGGCGGGCGTGTGATCCAGGCCTGGCCACCCAGAGTCCCAGCGATTGGTTCAGGGACGGGCAGACGACCTCAGCCAGGACAGTCAGTCCAGGGACCCCCGCCGCTATTGCCAAAGAGGCTTGCCGTGTCCCTCCACCAGGATGGCTCTGCTCATTGGCTGAAGCCGGAGCAGCTGAGGGCCACCCACGCCACCACTCAGGGAGAACCCTCCGGGCTACCTCCAAGCAGGGACACGACGGGGGAAGGCAGAGCTAGGGCCTCCCTCCCCCGCTGCCCCTGACAGGTCTCTGGCCGTCCCCGCGCTGGGCTGGGGGGCAAGAAGCCACAGCTGGCGAAGGAGGAAGGGAGGCGGGCAAGAGCCCGTGTGGGCCCCAGGGCTCCACGTGCTGTCAGCAGAAAGGCCAGGAAGAGGGGGGCAGGGGAGCCGGTGGGGCAGCCCAGACGCCCTGGACCTTCCAGAAGACAGCTGGGAGACAGCTAGGAGAGCAGAAGCCAGGCCCGGGGGCAGAGGAGGAGATGAGAGGGGGAGGTGGGATGGTGGTCAGGTTCCACTCTGGAAAGCACTGGGGGAGGAAGAGGAGAGGCTAGACAGTAGCTGGGGCGGAGGGAAGGAGGTGCTTCAAAGAGAGAGAGAGAGAGAGAGAGAGAGAGCCTGAATGCCTGGCGGAGTCAGCCAGGACGGGGAGCCCCATGGAAGGCCCCCAGTGTAGGGAGAAGGAGACTGGGTGCTGCTTCCGGGCGTCCCAGTTGCTTGCTGCACACGTGAGAAGGTGCTTGGAAACTAGAAGTGTGAGCGGGACTGGGTGCCTTTCTTCTCAGGCCTGCCAGGACACCTGGCAGGGAATTAGAGCCACCAAAGAGCCCCCCCCCCGCATCACAAGTGAGCACACACGCGTGGCACTTGTAACCTGCAAACAATCCCGCTCACGCCTGTAATCCCAGCACTCTGGGAGGCCGAGGCGGGAGGATCGCTTGAGCTCAGGAGTTCGAGACCAGCCTGAGCAAGAGGGAGACGCCGTCTCTACTAAACATAGAAAAATTAGCAGGGCGTGGTGGTGCGCACCTGTAGTTCCAGCTACTCAGGAGGCCGAGGCAGGAGGATCACTGGAGCCTAGGAGTTGGAGGTCACAGTGAGCTACAATGACACCACTGCACTCTACCCAGGGTGACAGAGCAAGGCACTGTCTCATAAACCAAATAAATAGATAAACTATCTCCTTAGAGGCCAAGAGCACAGGCCACTGAGGCCAGCCTCCCTGGGATCAAGTCCCAGTTCAGCTGATTCCTAGCTGTGTGACCTCAGGCAAGTTGCTTAACCTCTCTGGGCCTCAGTTTCCTCATTTGTAGAAGGGGAACAGTCTCAGTATCTGTCGCACAGGGCTGTTTGAGGGCAAAGTCAAGATAAGACACGTCACGCGCAGGGACCGGTGTACAGCAAGCGCCAGGAAAAGTTACTAACTAGTCCGTGTTCTGAGCCGGTGGTACTGGGTTGTGAGGACAGGACGGCGGCGGGAAGGAACGAGCTTTCCCAAGGGGAGCGAGAGCACACCCGGCAAGCAGACCCGGCAAGCGTAACTTGCCCGCGCGTCTGCCCAACAGATGGCCGCGAGAGCGAGCAGACTGCAGCTGAGCACGCAGAGCCCGCGGCTCCCACGGCCCATTCATAAGGATCAACACGCAGCCGGGAAAGCATTTTTAGCTCCCCTGCCAGACCGGCCGCTGGCCGCTCCCTGCTCCCCGGGGTGGGGCTGGGGGGGTCTGAGCAGAAAACCACACAGCCTGCTGGGGGAAGGAAGTGTTCTCTGGCTGCCCCAGAGTGGGCTGAGGCCCAGAAGCCAGGAGCATCTGCTAGGAATCTAATGACAGGATGCTCTCTTCCTCCCCGTCACCTGCTCCCGGTGGGTGGAGAACAATAGCTTCCACAATAGCCTGGGAGGCCGAACTCGGTCTGATGGGGGAGGGGGCAGCCATGGGGGACCGCAGGAGCAAAGCAGCCCAGTTGGGGGAGGGCAGCTGGCCAGCAAATCACAGCCCCAGGGCAGCTCCTGGTCCCGGACTGATCTGATGGGGGAGAGCTCAGAGTTTGCCACTTGCAAAAACACGCATCACACGGGCGGGCAGGCGGGCGGGTGGAAGGAGAGAGGGTGGTTGAGAAAAGAGCGAGCTCCTGAGTCAGAGGCCTGGGTTCAAATCCTGGCCCGCCAACTCCCCACGTGGCTGTAGTACTTTATGCTTCTGATATTTTAAGCCAATGTATTTATTTACATTATTTACAAAAGGGTTGGATGAATGTCTAGAGGCATCTCTGAAGAGATATTTCAGTCGGGAGCGTGTGTGTGTGCACGTGTGCACAACCGCGGCAGCACCCCGCCCATAGCACACGCTTCGCAAATATCCTCTGAATCGAACTAAACGCGAAATGTAATTTGACTAAGGAAGTGGTTACGGGAAGAAACGCCCACGTGACCCCTGGCATAATTTTGTACTTTTTGTTATTTATTTCACACATGATCCTGTGGCTTGTACAGACACCGTCCTGAGCATTTTACACACGTTGACTCACCCACACTCACGACACCCGGATAAGATCACAGGTGAGGAAACAGAGGCCCCCCACCGACCGCACAGCCAGGAAGTAGCCTCCATCGGGGATTCAAACCCTCACCGGCTGGCTCAGGGTCCCCTCCCCAACCTCCAGGCCTTTTGTCTCAAAGTTTGCTCCCAAGCTACTGACCAGAGACTGAAAGGGAGTCACATTCTCCAGTCTCCTTAAAGGGTCCCTTACCAACCATGCTGAGACTTCAGCCTCGGGTGTGGGGCTGTCCCCGCCACGTGTTCCCTCTTCCCCCGGCTCTCACACCACCGGGCAGTGCAAAAAGCACAGACATCTCAAGTATACAGTGTGATGATTTTTTGCTTGTGCACACCTGTTTCACTCCCTCCCAGATCCAAATGTGGGACACTTCCAGCTCCCAGCAGTCTCTCCTGTGGCCCCTCCGATCAGCGGCTATCTACCCCCCAAAGCTAACCGCTGCTCTGACTTTTCACACAATAGACCGGCTCCGGCTCTTCTAGAATTTCATATAAATGGAATCATATGGTGTGTATGTACCCTTTGCTCTGTGGGGCTCTGTTCTTCCAATTTGAAAAGCACACACCCTCAGCACCCAGACAGACAATGACTTGCAGGAGAAAAAAAAAGGGGGTGCAGCTGACAGTTTCTTTCTCTGCCAAGCAGCCCCCAGCTTGTTTTTATTTGGGGGGGGTGCCGACCTATCCAAGGGTCAGGTGGGGGGGCTGAACACTGGAGTTTGGAACTGCAGGAGTCCACCTTGGAAAAGCAGCGAACCATCACAGGGGGCCAAAGGAGCTGTCCTGCCCGCCCGGAGAGGGGATGGTGGGAGCGAGGAGGCCGGGGGTCACCGCTGCTGCTTCGGATGCCCAAAGGGGACAAGGCTGTAGGAGGCTCGGCCAGAGGGGCGCGCCAGTGCCCCCCACCCCACCCCCGTCCCCAAAGACCAAGGCTGCGCCGAAGCCTACCTGTGCACTCTTGGATGAAGTGCTGGTACTCGGCTCCCTGCTCGCCGGGGACGATGGTGGCGCCGTCGTACTTAAAAGTCACCCTTTGGAGCGGAAGAGAAAACACGCGTGAGCGCCGGCGGGCGCGGGGACAGTGCGGGGACAGTCCGGGCGCGGGGAGAGCGCTGGCCGGGGACAGCGCGGGCAGAGACGGGCGCGGGGACAGCGCGGGCAGAGACGGGCGCGGGGACAGCGCGGGCAGAGACAGGCGCGGGGACAGCGCGGGGACAGCGCGGGGACAGGACAGCCCGGGGACAGCGCGGGCAGAGACGGGCGCGGGGACAGGCGCGGGGACAGCGTGGCCGGGCGCGGGGACAAGACAGCCTGGGGACAGCGCGGGCCGGGGACAGCGCGGGGACAGGACAGCCCAGGGACAGCGCGGGCAGAGACGGGCGCGGGGACAGCGCGGGGATAGCGCGGGGACAGCGCGGGGACAGGACAGCCTGGGGACAGCGCAGGCAGAGACGGGCGCGGGGACAGGACAGCCCGGGGACAGCGCGGGGACAGCCCGGGGACAGCGCGGGGACAGGACAGCCCGGGGACAGCGCGGGGAGGCGCGGCCGGGCGCGCGGCGGGGGGAGGCTGCTCACCAGATGACGGCCGAGGTGTCGTCGCGCACCAGGTTGTACGCCGCGCGGCACGCCTCCTTGTCGATCTTGGTGGCCATCGCCGCGGGGCGGCGGCGGGGACTCTGCCCGCGGCGGCCGGGCGCCCCGGGCGGGCTGGGCCGGAGCGCGCGGACGCGCCGGGGAGACGCGCGGCGGCGGCTGCAGGGCGGCGGCGGGACGCGGCGCCCGCGAGCTCCGGAGCGCGGCTGCGCTTCCGGACTGCGGACCGGCGCGCTCCGGGACCCGGCCGCCGCCGCCACGCCCCCCGCGGCATGGCCGCGAGGCCGCCCGCCTCGCATGGCCGCTGGGAGGCGGGGGCGGGGCTTCTCCGCTCTCGGGCGGCCAATCCCAGGCCGGGAGGGTTGCGCAACTCCGCGGTGGGGGCTGGAGGGGGGCTTCTTCCTCCTCCCGCTCGCTCCTCCCTCCCGCGCCCTCCCGCGCCCTCCGCTCCCCCTCCCAGAAGATCCCACTACCCCAGCTCCTCCCCTTCCTACGCCCCAGCCCCGCTCTCCTTTCCCTCGCCCTCCGCCCTCCTCCCGCTCCTGTTCCTCCCTCCTCCTCTTCTCCCTCCCTGTCCTTGCTTCTCCCACCCAGCCCTTGCCCCCCCCTGTTCCCTTCCTGTTGCTCTCCTTCTCCCCCTTTCCCCTCCACTTTCCCTTTTCCCTCGCTCTCCTCCCTCCCCTCCTCGCATCCCCCTCCTCCCTACCCCTTCCTCCCTCCCACTTCCCCCTCTCTCCTGCCCCCTCGTCCTCTCCACCCCTGTCCCCCAGGCTGCAGGGCTGCCGAGCTCCGCAGGGGACTTCCAAGCGGATGATGTAATGCCTCAAACCCCAGAAGACGGGCTGGCCACTGCCCGGACCCCAGAGTTGGTTCCAAGGCTTCTGGGGGGAGGGGGGGAGGAAATTGGAAAGAAGGAAGCATTTCAGACCCGAGGGGTAGAGAGCGAGGGCGGACTGCTCCCAACATGCTAGCGGGTCACTGTTTACTTTGTATTCCAGTTATTGGCATTCGCATCTTACCTCCCCCTTTGGGCTCTTCTGAGAGCAAGAGCTGACTCATTCTATCTTCCTCATTCCTTCACTGACTCATTCATTCATTCTCTTACCCACTCACTCCACAGGGAAGAGTTACAGTGTCAAGGCAGGTAAAAAGGCAGGACCCTGCAGACCCGGCTCTTGAATTGCAGCCAGCGCTGCTGCTTTCCAACTGGGGGCCATTGGGCAAGCCTCAAAACCTCTCTGAGATTACTTTCCTCCAATGGGAAAAATAACAGAACGGACATCACTGGTTTAGGTTTAATCGAAATGATACACATGCAAACAAGTAGACATTCAAGAAAAGGTCATCGCTGTTGGTCAGTAAGTAATAAAAATAAATATTAAATGGAAGCCCAAAAGGTCAGGAACAATGTCCAATTAATATTAGGATTCTTCAGTGGACCCCGGTGGCTGACACTTGTCATCCCAGCAACTCAGGAGCTGAGGCCCTTTGAGATCAGGAGTTTGAGACCAACCTGGGCAACATAGCAAGACCACATCTCTAAAACAAAAATGAAAAGAATTAGCCAAGCATGGTGGCACAAGCCTGTAGCACCAGCTACTCAGGAAGCAGAGGCAGAAGGACCACTTGAGCCCAGGAGTTCAAGGCTGCAGTGAGCCATGATTGTGCCACCATACTCCAGCCTGGGTGACAGAGCAAGACCCCATCTCCAAAAAAAGGAAAAAAAAAAGAATTCCCAGCAAGCAAAAGGCAAAAAGCTGACTGAATCAATCAATCAATGGATGGTTGAATGGGTAGTAGGTGAACAGGACCACAGTTTCAGGAAAGCAGGAGTAGCTGTTGCTATAAATAAAAAGGCAAAAACAAATAAATTCCCATTTGAGACAGTACAAAGTGATTCCTACCTTACTGCTTGATAAAGGCCATCAGAAAGAAAAACAGAGATGAATCCATTCCTCACACCACTGATTAGGGAAAATTCTAAAAGGATCAAAGATTTAAACACAAATAAATAAAAAAAAATCACAAAAATGCAAGAGAAAACATAGGAGCTTCCTTTATAAAAGCCTAGAATGGGAAAGGTCTTTCTAACCATCACTCAAAATCCAGAAGCCAAAAAAAGATGGGTACATTCAAATATATAAAAAATCTTCTTAAAACAAAAAGTCTTCTTCTAGAGAACCAAAAGGTACCACCTCATGCAAAGTGTGAAAATAAAAGACAAAGCAGTAAAAAGTATTCACAGCTCAAAGGATTAGTCTTGCTAACATACAGAGAGGTCAACCTAAAAGGAAAAAGAAAAATGGGCACAAGATATAACCAGATAGATCAAATGGCTCTTAAACATGAAAAATTGCTCAACCTCAACCCCTAATAAAAGAAATGCAAGTTAAAGTAAGAATGAAATATACCTTTAAAGATACCTAGCAGTCTGACAAAAATCAAAGTTTGGCAAGCCTATAAAGGCTGGCGATGGAGTGTGTGAAGACCCAGGCCCTCAAACACGTCGCTGGTGGGAGTGTGAGTTGACACAACGTGGCAGTATCTAGCAAATTTACAAATCTGTGTGCCCCGCTGATCAATCCAATTACCCTGCGGAGTGAGAGGTGCCCAGCCCAGCTGGACCCTGGAGTTACCAGGGTGCTCTGATCCTGCACTCAGAGGCTCTGATGTGATCTGTCCTAGGTATGCCCTGGGTGCTGGAGGGTTTTTATTTTCTTTCTTGTCAAGACAGAGTCTCACTCTGTTTCCCAGGCTAGAGTGAGTGCCGTGGTGTCAGCCTAGCTCACAGCAACCTCCGACTCCTGGGCTCAGGCGATCCTCCTGCCTCAGCCTCCCGAGTAGCTGGGACTACAGGCACGCGCCACCACCATGCCCGGCTCATTTTTTCTATACTTTTAGTTGGCCAATCAATTTCTTTCTATTTTTTAGTAGAGACAGGGTCTCACTCTTGCTCAGGCTGGTTTGGAACTCCTGACCTCGAGCAATCCGCCCGCCTCGGCCTCCCAGAGTGCTAGGATGACAGGCGTGAGCCACCCCGCCCGGCCCTGGGTACTGGGATTTTTAAAAGCCCCCTGGGTGATTCTCATGTCCAGTTAGACCTGAAAGTCACTGCTCTAGAGACACTTGCATGTGTGCAAAAATCCATCCAGGGTTATTCACTGAGCTGTATTTCCAAAAGCAGAAGGTTGGAAATCACCTGCGTCCCCATCTCGAAGGACTGGATGAATAGGTGGTGCCACTGGCCAGCCCTCAAGGACCACGTGGCGGTCACAGAAAGGACAGTCTCTATATGCTGACATGGCACGTTCTACAAGAGATATCATGAATAAACACAGCTAGGGACAGAATAGTGTGCTCACAACAATACTACCTTTGGGGGAAGGGGGGATAAACAGATATTTGCATTTATTTGCACATGCATAAAAACTCTGGTAGAGCCGGGCGCGGTGGCTCACGCCTGTAATCCTAGCTCTCTGGGAGGCTGAGGCGGGTGATTGCTCGGAGGTCGGGAGTTCGAAACCAGCCTGAGCAAGAGCGAGACCCCGTCTCTACTTAAATAGAAAGAAACTAATTGGCCAACTAATATATAATAAAAAATTAGCCGGCATGGTGGGCGAATGCCTGTAGTCCCAGCTACTTGGGAGGCTGAGGCAGTAGGATCGCTTGAGCCCAGGAGTTTGAGGTTGCTGTGAGCTAGGCTGACGCCATGGCACTCACTCTAGCCTAGGCAACAAAGCGAGACTCTGTCTCAAAAAAAAAAAAAAAAAAAAACTCTGGCAGTGCATCCAGGAGAAAGCAACAGTGGTTCTGTGGTGGGGTGAGCAGACAGCCAGGCAGAAGGGGCTGGGAGGAGGGAGATTTCACTATATACCTTTTTATTGCATTTAATTTTATTTTTAAACCACGTGAATGCATTATTTATTCAGAATACTTAGTTACCACCAAAACAAAAAGTAGCTCCCCACTGAATTTGACCCCACGTCTCCAAGGTTCGGCGTTACTGGAGGAATAGTACCAATGTGCTGAGAATTTGGCACCTGCCTTCCTTCCGCCTGTAATTGTTCTCTGTCTGCTCATTGTGGCGATCGCCCTCTACTGGACTGAAGACGTAACGGAGTGGTTTTTAAAAGAACCCTAATTTTGAGCACCTTGCTAACTAACCATTTGCGCGGCTAAGGCACAAAAACAAACTGCAGACCAGAAATAAATACTGTGTGTTTAAGTTGAGAACCACACAATATAAAAAGCCATCTAATTCAACTCATGCCTCTTTAAGAGAAATCAAAATATCTGGTACTTAGTATGTGCTATGTGCTGAGTTAAGAATTAAGGAAATGGGCCGGGCACGGTTGTTCACATCTGTAATCCCAGCACTTTGGGAGGCCCAGGCAGCAGCATCACTTTAGGCCAGGAGTTTGAGACCAGCCTGGGCACCATAGAGAAACCCTGTCTCTACAAAAAATTTTAAAAATTACTTGGGTGTGGTGGCAGGCACCTGTAGTCCCAGCTACTTAGAAAGCTAAGGCAGAAGGATCCTTGGAGCCCACGAGTTCGAGGCTGCAGTGAACTATGATCCCCCCCACTACACTCCAACCCAGGTATGTGACAGAGTGAGACCCTGTCTCAAAAAAAAAAAAAAAAAAAAAAGGCCAGACACAGTGGCTCATGCCTGTAATCCTAGCACTCTGGGAGGCCAAGGCAGGAGGATCACGTAAGGCCAGGAGCTGAAAACCAGCCTTAGCAAGAGCAAGACCCCATCTCTACTAAAAATAGAAAAAATTAGCTGGGCGTGGTGGTGGCACAGGCCTGTAGTCCCAGCTACTCTGGAGGCTGAGGCAGGAGGATCGCTTGAGCCCAGGAATTTGAGGTTGCTGTGAGCTAGGCTGATGCCATGGCACTCTAGCCCGGGCGACAGAGCAAGATTCTGTCTCAAGATGAGAAAAAGAATTGGGGGAGTGGTACAAATGTATGCATTCATTCATTCACTCCTGGCACTGAGCCTACAATCCAAGGGGGCCACAACCTCACTCGCCTGTAGGGGGCAGGCGTGCAACATACATGAGCCAAGCACACAGCACTCAAGAAACGATTTTCTGGAAAAGGTGATCCTTCCTCTCTGTTCTGCCTTCCTCTGGGTGTCAGTTTCATCTTCAAAACAAGGTCCCCATCCAAAAAGGGCCACTGGTTCTCAGCTCCGCCCTGGTTGCTGTGCACGATAGCTCCAG